ATTTTTTTTTTTTTCATGTAATTGGAATCACTCGCTGAGCATGTCATACTGCAGATCTGCGGGAGGAGAATGGGGACTAGTTTCGCTCTCTACACAGCACTAGTATTTCCCATTCTAGCGGTGCTCCCGCGGTTGCTCTGCTTGTGGGGCTGGCATGGAATACTGGTCGGGGTTCGGGAGTGAGCGGACGGAAGAATAGGGGATGCTGCGGCGATGATACGACAAGTTCAAACTTGGGACAAGCGGTCTGTGGGCTAGCTGCGAAGTCAATCCGCCGCTTTGACATGGATAACATAACTAATACAAGTTGTGCAAGGGGTGATGGGCAGCCAAGCGTTGTTGTTTCACGCGAAAGGTCATCAGCAGTCTCATAGTTATTATGACCTTTGGGACATGTCAATATGGACGGGAACCCTGTTTCGTCCTTGTGGGCGGGATCTTCGTGTTTCCAAAAAGATTTACCTATGTAGTTGATGTTTGGGGCGGGCGAATCGAAATAGAAGCAGGAGGAGAAGCAAAGCATCGCCAATGCCTAAGGGTGACAGCCTAATGCATGATGACATTGTTGTGTGTTTCCATGTCAATCATTAATTCCACTAACGGGTCTCCTATTTTCTTCTGTGAGCATGTAACTCGTAAGTTGGTTTTATTGCGGCCGCTCAGACGATGGGTGTATGAAATTGCGTCACTCAAGATAACAAATGATAGGGACTCCCAGCGAGACCTGATCCTCAACGCCTTCACACGTCGCTGATCAGTGGTGTGGTTGGCATGCAGCCAAAAGAAATATCTACCACCAATTTAATTTCATTTTTCCCCGGAGAGGCTTGGACCTTCCCATCTTCTTCTGAATGGGAGCGGCCTGTTCACATTATGATTCGACGGCCGAATATATTTGGAAAAGCCGTTTTACTATGTAAGTGCTTGGATCATCCCGTCCCCCAACTTTTGAGCGAATTGGTTGGGTGGTGGCCGGGGGTGGAGCTCGTGAGAAACATGGATTGAGATGACAACAACATTGGGAGGCCCCCACCGTTTTTTGCTGTTTCTCTTTCCAATTTATTGTGAAACCAGAGGTGATCTTGACGAAGTTCATCGGTTCATCTTGATGCTGGCTTTTTTTCCTTTTCTTTCTCCTGTGAGCTTCGGGACTTCAGGCATAACTGGTTTGTTGACTGGTCATGAAGCATCCTTGATCCCAAGCCTGGTAGAAATTTCTACGGGGGAACTACACATCCATAGTCCATTTATGTGGCGGATGAGTTTGGTCCTAGCCAGAGACTCGATGGAGCCGCTGTGCTTTGATATGCTGCGTATATACTGATAAAAAGGTATCATTCTGTATGGTCCAAGTAATGATTTGAACTTTGGGGAGCGTTGGCATGAAAGAGCCCCAGAAGCTCTGGGAGGGTGTTCTGGAAAAGTGAGGATTGCCCATTTCGAGTCCAGGGGCCATGGTGAGACAGGGGAGGAGCTGGAGAGAAACGGGATCCCTTAGACATCTCACGATTATTGAGGGTCAGGAAAACCATCATGAAATTTTCTGCTGCATAACACCCAAACACTATGCATCAGCAGCTTCATTTGCATAGGGTTATTCCAGCTTGGATGCAACATGCCACCACTTTGGTATCCCACTTTCGTATCCAAGATATCTTGCGGGTCATTGACTTGTTGGTCTCTTTGTAAATAGTATTTTTGCCCGACAGTGTTCCTCATGCCCTGCGTAGAATAATGCATGATTGCCCTGTTCATACTAAGTTTCTCAGAGGTTAGAGGCTTCTAGCTGAATGGTAATTGGTCCTTGGCTTCCGCATGATGATTCATGACACCCGGGAGGCACACCTACGTGCATGCATTGGGCACAACTTAAGGCTTAAACGATTTCGAAGTTGAAACCTTTCCTTTTCAAACCTTGGGTACGCAGACGACGTAACGATCCCCCAGCTGTACCTCGCATCTACGCAGAACACTTGTACCCCAAGTTGATAGAAGGTTGCTGATCGTTCGCCTGTTGACATCCTTTGCAGGCAAAGGATTTCCATGGGTGAGCCAAGCCACATCGGCGCTTGGGGCCGGTCTCCGCAACAGGAACCCCATAGCAAAGCCCTAAAAGGGCCTATCCCTCAACAACCCCAGCCTAGCGTTCAAGGGTGTCGACGGGCTTTTAACTAGCCCACTAAACCCTGCGGAGGCGGCCGCCTCCCTGTGCCACCCCTTGTTCGGAGGGCTGACTCCCCTCTGTCGTCGCCGCCCAATGGCTACAGCCCAAGAAACGGGCAATCTGGGGCCCCAAGGTCAGTCCTTGCTTGGCTTGATTGGCGACGAATCTGCACGGAGGGAGACGAAAGGGTGTTGTTGTCTTTCCTGTATTGCGTATAGGCTGCATGTACTGTACAGTGCTTGGGGCTCTCCCGGCGGAAAAAGAGTCGGGGTCGAGTTACATACCGATGCACAGAGGCGCTCAGGTTACGGAGTAGAGCTGCGGGAGACATCTTACCTGGGGATGGATGGCTGGGCGGGCTGGTTCTAACTTTTTGAGTTCGAACCAGAGCGAATAAACTCTCCAGTGGGCAGTGGGCACTGGCCCACCAACTTCCACCACTCCACCAGGACCACTCCACGGGCAGGACCACTCCACCAGCACCACACCACACCGCGCACATCCACCCTCTCCAACCACGTTGTCAACTATCACATCACGTTCCTTCTTCCTCGTTCTGCTTTTCTCTTTTCCTCGATCATTCCTCCTCCTTCGCATACCCCACCGCCTCATTTCCCTCCAACAACAGCTGTGGTAGCTGTCCGCGGGTTCTTCCTGTCGCCCTGGATCGTTGCGACACTGCCTGGAAAATTTCTCTGTCTCTTTGTTTGTTATTTCCATGTCAGACGGCCGCTGCTCCCTCCAAGCATCAACCTCCGTTGAATCCCGGTGCTGTGTTCCGCTTTCGTATTCTTCCACTTTTAAAGATCCTCGTTGGAAGCATTCATTTTCCAACATCGAACCAAAATAGCATCTGCGATTTCCCAGCCCATATATCTATGAAATTTCTTGAGGGTAGGTACGGATGATTTCGATCCTTCAGATATGACGAGTTGAATCGGCCACTCTCCAACGGAGAACATGCAAGATTGTTTGGCCCTCGGTGTTCTCGAGCTCTCTTTTTCTCTCCATACGCACTCTGCGCCTCGCAATATTTGCTCACCCGTTTGCTTCTCAACTTCGTCAAACATATCTGACTTCTACCTCGCATGGTTCCTAGGAGTATAATATATTGAACTGTTGGCTCCGTGAAGCCCCGGATCGTAACTGCCCTCTGCGCACATGCCACAGTATAGAGACATAGCCGTCGAATTACACACCGAGTTCGAATAATATCCAGAAGTGTTTGAAACTCTACTCTGGTCCCCAGCCAACCCTTTTCTGGTCCCGCTCGCATCCCAACTGGCTTAGGTGGTGCGCTTGCTGGACCTGGCGCTACTAGTTGCCTGCTGGTTCGTTGTATTTTGTCCTACATCATATCCTGGGCAATCAATCATCTCTTAAGGCTTAGATATAAAGTTGCTGAGCAATATTCTGGAACCAGCCGCTACAGTGGAAGCTGCCTATCTTTCGTTGTGCTTTGTAAGGGAATGAACTTCATGGATTGATGTGGTGCTTTTTGGTTGGTGTTTAGTGCCCTTTCTAACACCACTGAGTTTGACTAGCCATGGCATGATGCGGTGTCCGAAACGATCAAAAGAACGGTATCGTCGATAAGACTTGGGCAGGCCCGCTATCGTCTGTTGCTCTTGTTCATCCTTTCTTCATTTTTCTTCCCCGGACGAGAGAGTATTCTCCTCCCTCCGCAACTAAGAATCATGTTACCATCCGTGGCACAGCAGTCACACCACCTATTACATCACCATCTTGACCATCAACCTCCTTTCGACCATTTGGATCCTCAGTACGATCTGGGCCGGCAGTGCCTTACGATATGCTTTCCGTCAAGGTCAACAACACGGATACGCAGACCAGCAGCAACGTCGCGATGCTGCGTCAGCGGGTGCATACCAGCGACCCGTTCAGCGACCAATGACCAGGA